TCTATCTATCTATCTATCTATCTATCTATCTATCTATCTATCTATCTTCATGCGATGAAATTCATGTGATTCATGCTGGTACCTATTAACTAACAAAAATCAGTTCAATAACAGTGAGGTCAGGTGACTGATGTGGGGGCTAATCAAATAGCTTGACTGAGTTGCATTGCATAACTTCCAACAATCAACTGCTGCTTACTATCAAGACATATAACTTTGAGTGGCTCATGGAATCCAGAGGGAAGGCAAGGTTAATCTGCAATAATTATTTCAAAATGTTATTTTTCAATACAAAAGTTCGTATCATTCTAATTCAGAAGCTATAAGTAACAAAAAAGTAGAATGGACACAGGTAGGTGTCTCTCTCAGGAGATCTACCAACCTCAGCCTAGGTAGTATTGGCTGCTGAGGCAAAACAATGGCTCACATCAGAATTGAAGCATTCTGCTTGTTTACAACATCTATCATTTGTTCTTATCATGTGTGATCAGAGCAATTTTCTCTCCCTTAATATAGTTTTGATGGTACAAAAAAGCTAAATTCTCAGAGAATTGGAAAGCACATTTCTTGTCCTTTGTGGTAACTAAACTGTCAAGAGATAAGAGAGTCCATAGTATCAACTTGTGTGTAATTCATCTTACAATTGTGCGGCTGTGTTATACTCTGGAACAGCTGGAAGTATGACTTAAGGCATTTGCTCAAATTTCACAGAAGAAGCATTATGAATATGGAGAAAAATGTAAAGTGGAACGCAAAGAGTGTTTACTGTGAGACGGCCTCTATTCTTAAATTCTATTAACTGACCATTAGTGTAGTTTGCCACTTAAAAAAGGCAAATTTGTGGTCTGATACATCTATAGTCTATCTTAGTGCGACTCATCCTCAGGCAGTAATGCAAACCAGTGTAGACAGTAGGGTGAGGTGAGAGCAGTGTCGGCCACTTTGTATCATGTCAGCACCACTGGTTAGATACCATCTCCACAGTGTCCCTCGTCACCAATCACATAATTTCAAACCACCCAGGGAGCTTGACACCCTCCACCTCTCCTTGTTACCCCACACGCATACACACATATACTCCTTATCTGTCAA